CGGTGCACTGACACACATTGCCTTGCCTGTACGACCAGGGGCCCACCCTCAGAAGCTAATTCTGATTTTGGGGGCGGTTCTCCCCTTCTATGTCTCCTATGTGCCTGGTACTATTCTGAATACTACAGTAAAAAAGACACGCAAGATTTCCTCCCTTGTAGTGCTTCTGCATTGGGCAATGAGACAGACAATGCAAATTTCTGTTAGTGCTAAGTGCTACATACAAAGGAGAGAAAACAGGATCACAGAATGGAAAGTAACTCAGGGCTAGGCTGAGTCATTCGCGAAGACCTCTCTGAGGAGCTGATGTTGGAAGTGAGACTTCACGATGCTTGGAAGCCTACTCTAAATGGGGTCTTACTCACAGGGGTTTCAGAAACTGTGAGCATCCAGGAAGAACTCCCACATGCTCTGTGGTTATGGGCAGTCCCTGAGGGAAGACTTTAGTCAAATAAAAGACAATTACGTGGTAAATTTAAAACTAACATTACTTCCATAATTACATATAGAACAAAGTTCTGCTGGTATTTTTCAACGTGTGACTTTTGTTCCTTGCAGCTGGTTTATTGCCATAGATTGAAAGACACCATTGCTACTAAATGGTTTCTCATGGCCCCATGACCCAGAGAATTATAATATCTTATAATCAAAATGAACTTTTATAAGTCAGCTATTGCATCATATGAAACGCAAATGAGCAATTATATATCTTCCTCATGACACAGTAATGGAAAGCTTTTTTATCTTGTTAGGAATTTCTATTTATTTATTTTTCTATGTTTAGGCTCTCGGAAACTTCCACCCAATTCTTCCCGCAGCAACCATAAAAAACAGTTTTATTTCTCCTCCTTTTTCCCACATAACAATCTCTCAAAATTTTGAAGATTGTTATTACATTCCCCCTAAATTTGTTCTATTCTTCCTTAACCAATTCTCTCAGGGCATAATATTCAGACCCCTCACCATGCTGGTCATTCTCTAACTTTTATGGGTACTTTTCTCTGACATCATGGTGCCTTGGGTGACACAGGGAATGTGATCTCATAGTATAGATGCTGGTGGGACCACAGAATTTTCCTCAGGCAGGTGACTACACTTACATTAATGCAGCCAATCCTAGCATGTACTCTGCAATGAGCAGGGCACATTGTTAGTGCATAATTAATTTTGTCTGTGACAAAGAAAACTGTTAAATTAATAGTCAAGGAGATAAGCCAATCCGGACTTGTGTAATTAAATTATTTTCTTAACTTATATGCAGTTATCCCTGTAAAAATTGTATCTTGTTGGTTTGGGCTCAAATGATGTCTCAAGTGAATATGATGTCGCTTTAAATGCGAATTCTAAAATGGACAATGTCAATGAACAAAGCAGTTCTGTTTTTCCCATCCACACTTTGGTTAATGCACTTAAAATTCTTGTAAAGCTATGGTAGCCCAACTTTGAAATCAGCTCGCTTCTTTCTCTCCCCCCTAAATTCAATCAGTCAGCAAATCCTATTCTAAAAGTTCCTTTTAGATGTAACTTTTTTAGTTTTATCCCATTGCAATCACTTTAATACTAGTAATCATTATCGTCTACTTATAGCATTATATAGCTGAAGAATGCAAAGAAGGGGATGTGCTGGCACTTAAATTCCCTTTTTTTCAGTCCTGCTAGATTATATATAAACTAGCTGCCCAAATAATCAGTTGATGAGGAATCTCTTTATCCAGTATTTCCTAAATGTTTTCACCCTCCCTATAGCCTTTTCTGCATCTTTGTATACTTGCCCTAAATAGTGTCCCTCTATCCCAACACTTCTTAGATTTGATTTATTTGATTGCATTGGCCCACTCATACCTCTAAGTTATATCCTACCTGTGGCCCGCCTGAAATAGATACATGTATTTCCTGTTACATCTTGGGTATGAGATAAGCATCTCAGTGTCCATCGATGCCTTTGGATTATAGCATCTAGGTTTAATGTGTAGCAATCTTTGTATAAGTAGGAGAGAAGAAGATAAGAAGTTTGAGGAGGAAAAAAGTACTGATTGATTTGTTAATGATAATATAGTCATATCTTAGCTTTAGATCTCATGAAACCTCAAAATCACATTTTGACGAGGAAAAAAATGTTTCAGCGCTTACTGGGGACTCATTGCACTTGCTAGAACTTATATGAGTCATGAGGCCACCCCGCAAGAGAAATTGCTCCATTGTTCAGCACTCATCAGTTTCAGTACTCTTTAGGCGATGTGGAGTGAATTAATAAGTGCTAAGGAACCATGGTACTTTTAAATAGTATTTAATATGCGCCAAACACTGTGCCAAGCACCCTAATACTTTGCCTCCTGTGGACCTCACAATACCCCTGATTTTACAGAGAAGAGATCTGGGGTCTAGACTATTATTTATGGTGAAATAACATAGCTTCAATCTATGGCCTACACTTGTCACTTCTGTGCTACGCTATCTACAGTAATGTACTGCCTATTTTTAAAAAGAATTTAGTATTGCTCAGAATGATCATATATAAGCACATATATGTGCATAATACATTCATATACACACATACAATAAAACTTACATGCAATAGATGGGATTCTCATTTTAAATATAGTTTTTCTATTAGTTTACACACTCATTACTATTGTGCAGAAGGCAAAGCATAGGCTTCTTAGATCTGATATGTTGTGTACTAGGTAAGCAATCACAGGCAACTCAGTCTAATTAACACCCAAGGATATGGTTCTTTATTTTTTTAGAGAGAGAGGAAGGTAGAGAGAGAGAGAAAGAGAGAGATTGAGAGAAACATCCAGGTGGGAGAAAATCAATTGATTGCCTCCCACATGCACCAGGATGGAGCGGACAAACTGTGTGCGCGCCCACACATGGGGTGGCGCGCCAACCCACTGAGCACCCCAGCCAGGGCTCCTTTTCTGTTTCTAAAATGGGGACAGTAGCATCTACTACTCAGCGCTCTTTTAGGAATTAGAGACAATAGAATGAAGTGCCTGGCGAAGAGTAGACATTATGAAATGATAACTGTCATCTTTAGATCCAGCAGAAGACTGTTTGACAAAATGACATACATGGTGCTAAAAGTCTTGTAGGTTCTTCATCTGTGTGTGTGTTGACACTTCGACTCAGCTTTCAAATTTAAACCTATTTTTTTCTTAATGATTTCTAACTCATTTTTTCAAAGATTTCTAAATTCACAGCCACTTTTGAAAGAAATGTTAGCTATACAATAAAGACTTTATGTTAATTTGTTAATTTTGCTGGAAATTCCTTTTTGTTCCTATAGTGATAATGTGTTTCAGGATTCTGTTTCCATTACAATATCACTGTAGCTTGGTTTTCCAATTGTTATAATGAATTTCTGTGTTTATTGCTTCCCCCTGGCATGTACCAACTTCTCCAAGAAGCTACTCTTCTTTTGTACTTGCAAGGCACCATGCACTTTCTATGGCTGATTAGTATCTTCTGCTTTGTATTACACTAATTCAAATGTGTATATATATATACATTTTACCTCTACTATTAAGTGGAAATTTTGCAATGACAGAACCTCTAGGTGATTTATCTAGCATTCAAAGAATATAATAGTTGCTCAGTAAACAGTTGAATGCTGCTTGCTTAGAACATTTCTTAAACTAATGGTTCAGCTGTGGAATACTCATTATCATTATGTACCTTTTCTTTAAAAAATAAATTAAGTATCTATAGAGCTCAGTCAGCTCCAAACTGTCCAGTTTGATTCACTTCCTTCTAATTAGTTATGTGGGTTTTTTCTTTTTTTATTCTAGCCATCAACTCATTTTCAATAACTCTATATCTAATTTAATGGACTACCTATCAAGTACACCTAGAACTTGGACCGGGCTACTTTTCTAACATTTAATTATGCTGCTGTGCTTGTATCTATTAATTATCACTAGAAAATTCTTTGCTTTTTATTATACCTTTCAATTATTTACTTGATTTTTAAAATAATATCCATGACTAACTTGGATAAAACAATTTTTTTTCAAAGTGTTAAAAAAAATAAGCTGGAAGTCCTCTGAACTAAATCATGGCTTGATAATACCATTTTGGAACAAAATATTAGATAGTTTTCCTATAACATATAAATACATTTGAGATAGTATTTGAAATATCAATCTTTATATTCCCTAAGGACAGTGAATATTCCCAATTGCTATACCTACATAGTATATAATATAGTGCCAAGTTCTACCAACTGTTTAACAAAAATAACTAAATCCAAGTAATGAGAAAAATAATGTTTTACATTTTTCTGATTAGCAGGTGTGTGACCACGGTGTGTGGGGAAGGGCAGTATTATGGCTTACTCTGCCAATTCTTATAAATGCCTTTTCTTTAAAAGAAATCTGTGGCATCTTTAAGACCGCAGTTCAATACAATACCAAAGGTGTCTTCAGAATAAAGCTGTCCTGAAAGAATTTATTTAAATAAACCATACCTTACTTTTAAAAAAGAATTTAATTGAGTTAAAACTACTTCCAAAGTAATAAATGTCCCTTCCTTCCCATTCCCTGTCAATATTTCATTTCAAAGTTCAGCCTGTGGTAGGAAACAGAAAAGGAACCCCTTTCCTATAGCAGAAATGTCTCTTTTTTCCAAAGCTTCAGAATAGTCCACAGGGTGAACAGCATCTGGGAGGTCTTCAAACCTACTTCCAGATAGATTCCCCAAGGTAGACCAGCATATCCAGTCTCCCAAGCCTTTCCAAAGACAGCCTCCAGAAAGACACGTATGGCAGAGACCAAATCCTCTGATTCTAGAGGCGAGCCAAAGAGAACCTGAAGGAATTGAAACATCTCCTTCCCCTACCACAAGTAATCCCCTAACGCAGAAAGCCTCCAGATGCCTCTCTAACAAAGCTCCACAGAAAGTCTTCCAGAAGCTAAATCTCCACAAATCAAAGCCTTAATGTTCTCTCATCTCTTTTCTCGCCTTTCATTCTCAATCCAAAAAGATACGCGATTTCTCACCTGGGTCAAGGCGCTTATCTCTGAGCACACTCTGGAGATTAGGTTATTCTGAAGGTCTAGAGTCCTCAGGCCAGGCAGTTTTTCTAATGCTGAGGGCATCTTGGTCATCTTCTTCTGATTCAAGGTAACGATCCTGGTGCTTTTACCACCCTTCAGTGCTCTTATTAACAACCTTTCAGCCATGGGCTGGGAAGAGAAATAGAAAAGGGAGAAGGTAACCATTAGGGATTAAGTTCCTTATTACACATCTTTAGAATCTCTAACTGCAAAATTGCTGTGTCATGGAAACAAAAACATTCCGAGATCTACCATGATGAAGGTGGGAGGCGCCAGATAGTTTCCTGGTTAAAAGGCAGGGAGGGCAAATAGCTGATTCCAGGTTTGGGGCAGGATATGCACACAATGAGCCTAGGATATCTTATGCCAGGGACATGGAAGTTGTCAAAGGCTAATGAGACCACAGCAAAAGGACATAGAAGCCAACTTATAAGGACACCCACTTGTCTAAAATAGGAAAATTTGAGGATCAGAAAGAATAATCGAGAGTGGACTGAAACACATTAAAATGCATGAACACCTAGAAGTTCATGATAGTATTTTTAAAATAAAAGAAACTTACTGATTACATTGAGACTTGCTAGGGAACCAGTCCATAAGTCTGAAAACTGATGAAGGAAAAAATGAAGCATTTATTCTGCCTTTTTAGTACACAGTGCATTTGAGTATAACCTAATAGTTTAAAAAGTTCTTATTCACAGAATAATTGAAGGTAATAAATAAAGAAGGAAAAACAGATTTAGAAAAATCACCATTTTAGCAAATCTTAATGAAGTAATGGGATCTACACAATGATCATAATTGGATGCTAAAAATATTAGGTGAGAGGTTGATGATGTACTTTATAAATAATAAGACTAATAACCCACCAATTTTAGCATCATTAATCACATTGTAAGTCCCATAATATGATGCAATAAAAAGTATACACCACCACCTATATTCTTGTCAAAAAATTAAATCTGAATCTAATCGTTTCTGGATTTAACTAGAGAAAATATAAGGACTAGAGAACAACCTAAATTCATCTCAGGGAACCAGTCAGCCAAATCTTGAACATGGGGTATTCTACAGCAAATGACACAAAGTTTAACTAATGAATCAATGGCATTAATAAAAACAAGGAAAAACTAGTATGAAATAAATGAGACTTAAAAGAAATAATAGCCAAATGCAATGGGTAAACTTGTTTGGATCCTGATTTGAAAAAAAAGAAATATCATGGAGTCAATTGGGAAAATTTGATTACAGACAGAGTATTTGATGGTAGGAATTGGTAATTCTGTTATACGTGGTAATAGAATGGTGGTAGTTTTTTTTTTTTTAATGTACTTAACATTTAGAAATGCATCTAAAATTTTCAGGTAAAATTTCATATCTTTAATTTTCTTTAAAATAATTAGGAATTGAGGGGTGGAGGGAGGCAGGGAGGTGGGGTGGAAGAAATAAATCAAACATGATTAACCAAACATTGAAAATTGTTGATGCTCAGTTATGGGTCACGGGGTTAATTAACTATACTCATTATTTTTTGTATTTGAAAAGGTTGACAAAGACAAAAAGAAGAGAAAGGGGGAGGAGCTGAAGCTAGTTATGAGGCTTGGGGGCATTTGAGATCATCTAGATAGCTGATTTGCAAATACTTGAATACTGTAAAATACATTCTGACTTTAAAATGTTCAGAACATAATTCAATCCCTCTTTGTAATTCGAGAATTGCTTTATTCATTTATTCAACAAATATTTAGGAACACCTGCTATGTGCTAGATACTGTTCTAGGCACTGGGGGTAGAGGAATAAATTTAAAAAAAAAACAAAAATCCCTCTCTCATTGAAAGGTCAGTTAGAATTACATTCTAGTAGGATGAGGAAAAACAATCAAGGTATGTATAAGTAAATCTAGCATGTTAGGCAGTATTAAGTGCTAAGTAAGAAAAAAATTTAAAAAGCATGTAAGGAAAATAGGGAGGGTGGGAATAAGGAATCTGCAATTTTACACAGGATGACCAGAGAAAGCCTAACGGACAGGTTGCTTAAGAGACAAGGGTTTTTCCAGTACAAGGGTAAAGCGACTGTCAAAGTCATAAAGAATCATTAAATTTCTAAAGAATATTATAATGAACATCAATATCATAACAGTAAAACAAAAGGTGATTAATGACTTCCAGTTGCTAGTATGATAAAATTATTTAATCACTGTTCTTTGTCTTATCTCTTCCAATCCTATTTTCTAACTTCTTTGGTATTTTAGCTTCTGAGAACAATCATGCTGTTACTATCTAAGCAAAGTCATCATAAAGCTTTGCTTTAAAAAGTATCTCATAGGCACTCATCTAAAGTAACTGTGTGGCTAGTATGTCAGCCAAAACTATCCAAACACTAGTAATTTGTAACTGTTTTAAATGGGTGAGCAGGCTGCTACAATCTGATACTGCTATTAATTTGGTTAACCTAGATAATCTGGTACACATTTTTTTTTGTTTTTGGTTATTATTTATTATTATATTTTTTAAAGATTTTTGTTAGAAGTCTGGAAGAAGAGCTGCTAGTTTATTACAAAAGATGGTGGGTTTTTTGGTTTTTTTTTTGGCAGATTGAGTTTGATGTGCTGCTAAAATATTCTGTAGTGTTATACAGCAATTTGTATTAAGATTTTATTTATTTATTTTTAAAGAGAAGGGAAAAGAGAGAGAAAAAGAGAGAAATGCCAATGTGCAAAGAGAAACATCAATTGGTTGCCTTTCTCATGCCCACAACTGGGGACCTGGCCCACAACCCTAGGCATGTGCCTTGAATGGAAATCAGACCAGTGACCTTTTGGTTTGTGGGATGATGCCCAACCCTCTGAGCCACACTACTCAAGGCCAGCAATTTGTTTTAAAAATACAATATCTTAGAATGGTAATTGAATTTAGAGAAAGGGACTGCAGGCTAAAAGAGAAAAGAGAATACCTTGGGAGAGTGTAGAAAGAGGAAAGGACCCCAATCTGGTAAACATTTTTGATCCCTCCTTCTCTTACCTATACATTCAATCCTATTAATATCACCTGTTCCAGTTACCTATTACTGGGTAACCACTGTAAAACTTAGTAGCTTAAAATACTTTATTCACAAATCTACAACTTCGGCAATGCTCAGTGGGGACAGTTTTTCAAAGTTTCTCTTGGCAACAGCTGGGGTGGCTTAGGGCTGAGGCAGAAATATCTAAAGGCTCATTCACCCATATCTAGTGATAGGTGTTGGTTGTTGGCTGGGACTGTGGGGCCACACCACCTACCTGTAACTTCTCCAATACAGCTTGAGCTTCCTCCCAACATGGTGTCTTGGTTCAAAGTTTTAGCATCCCAACAGAGAAGTGGATGAAGCTGTATCACTTTCAAACCTAGCTTCATAAGTCAGACAACATCACTTGTGCCACATTCTACTTGTTATTAGCAAGTCACTGAGTCCAACCCATAATCAAAGAAAAAGGAATTAGACTACCTCTTGAGGCTAAGTGGACATATCTTAAAACCCACTACAGTTCACCCTCTGGCCATGAGTCATTTACATTCCTCCAACACATAAAATAGTGACACTTTCTCCAAAGATTCCCCTCTTCCCAAAAGTTTCATCTATTTAGAGCATCAGATCCCCAACTCTTGTCATCTAAATCAGGTACAAAGATGGGCGGAGCTCCTCGGGGACAGTTCCTTGAGTCCAACTCAAGTACAGTTTATCTTGATCTGGAGACCTATGAACTAAAAAGACAAGTTATCTGTTCCCATATACCCAGAATTTAACAATGGGTGAAACATAGAATAGGCAATAGACAGTACTACTCAAAAAAGTGAAAAAGCAGCACAGAATAGTCACTGGTTTATGGCAATTCTGGAACCCAATGAGGCACATGCTGTCAGTTCCTTGATTAGTGTTTAGTCCAACTTCCTAAGACTGGTTATTGGTTCCCCTTTCTGGAAGCCTGATTTCATTTTTTCCCCATAACACACAGACCACGTTTATGAAGTTTTGTGCATGCTTCCTGTTCACTGATTTTTTTTTTTTGTGGTAACAACTTTGCATAACAACATATCATACAATTCATCCACTTAGTGTACAATTCAGTGGTTTAAATATATTCACGAGGTTGTGCAACTATCTCCAGAAACCCTGTATCCTTCAGGAATCACTCCCCTGTTCTTCCCATCCATTGCAGCCCTAGGCAACTACTAATCTATATATTTGCTTATTCTAGATAGTTTATATAGATGGCCTCATACAACATGGGGTCTTTTGTGACCATCTTTCACTTGCATATTACTTTCAAGGTTCATGCATGCGATAACATGTACCAGTATGTCCTTCCTCTTGATGGTCTAAAAAATATCCATTTATCAGTTAATGGACGTTGAAATTGTTTCTACTCTTCAGCTATTACAACTAATGCTATGAATATTTGTGTACAATTTTCTTGATTGTATTATCTAGGGAGGAATTACTGGGTCAATATGGTAACTTCGGAACTGCCAGGCTGCTTCCCAAAGTGGCTGCATCAGTTTATATTCTGACCATCTTTTCATCTCATACTGTCACTTTTGATCCTAAACTGATATATTCTCTTTAAAAACATTGTAAATTTATCTTAAAACAGTTGAATTCATTCTAACAGACCAACTCCACACCCATAATCTCTTTGTGAATCCCTTCTCTATTTCGGGTTCCCATGTGAAACTGCTGTGGGATAATACAGGATTTTAGAAGCGCTCTCATCTGTGGATCAGAAAACATCTGTTCCCTTCCTCCGGTCTTAAGGGGTTTTACAGTCATGCCCTTGACTTCACCTTTAGACTTCATTTTCCTGACAGTTCCCTGATTTGCTGTCTGTAACTCACTTAATTTTAGCATAATTTGCTCTCTGGAGGGGCTACAAATGAGAAAGTTTTATTTTCAAGCCCAAAATGTATGGCTCATTTATATTTAATAAGTCTTACTTCTGCTTGACTTTCTCTTCTTTTACTATTGGGCAACTAGAAGAATCCACATAGGACTTTCAGTACTGACTCAAAACCTCTTTGGCTAGATCATCCAGTTGATGATACATGTTTTATTAACCATGTTAATGTTGCATCATTGCTAAACTTTTAGCTATTAATAGGAGCCACCCTTCTTCCAGATTCCTCACAATCCTTTAAACCCTTACCTAGAGCCTCCTAGAACTAATTCTGTTTGGCGCATAATATATTTATTCCAAATCTTTTAAATGCAAGAATGTTTTTGTATTTTCAATGATATGTGAAGACAATACAAAGACTGGATAAAATTCTAAAACAAAATGAGTTTTATTTTAATATTCTAAGATTATCAATGAATAAGAATTTGAACAAATATTTATTTAATTCATCTTTTATTCTTCTTTTGGCACAGATAATATGAACAAAACTAGATTGCCACTATAGTTTTACACGCTCTTTTTATTTGCTTTATACAAGTTGTAAACATATTTAACTGGATAAAATTCTTGGCTTAATACATATTTCAGAACTCTGACATACTTTTTGAGTTATGACCAAAAAAAGTTTATGAAATGTTTTTAGACTATCATCATATAGCAAACTGAATTAGTTTATCTGCTTTTAAATTAACTGCCATTTTTTAAAGACTGCAATTTTAAGTTACAACTAAAATCATTTTTATCTGTTCTATGAAAGAACAGAAACTAACCATATAAATATTGTTCATAACCATATCGACCATTTAAAATTAAAAAAATAAAAGATGAACCTATAATCAAGAAAATGTTACTTGTTAGGAAAAAACAACTGCTAATAAGGTGTTTTCCAATACCTTGTTTTATTACTTTATAATGCCTCTCTTTTAACTTTAAATAGATTACCTCAAAGTAAAGCCAAGGTGCTCAGTATTTTATAATTTCATTCTTTTAATAAATTTCAGACCCCCCAAAAAACTCAGATCATGGATTGAAAAACAGGCAAGAGAAAAGCAATTAGTCACCCACAGGAGAGCACCCATCAGGCCGTCAGCTGATTTCTCAAAAGGAACTTTGCAGGTCAGAAAGGATTGGCAAGAAATATTCAAAGTGATGAAAAGCAAGGACCTACAACCAAGATTACTCTACCCAGCAAAGCTAACATTTAGAAATGAAGGAGAGATGAGTAACTTCCCAGACAAGAAATAACTGAAGGAGCTCATCACCACCAAACCAGTGTTATATGAAAGGTTAAAGGTCTTCTTTAAGGAGATCAAAATTTTGAGTAAAATGGCAATAAATACATATCTATCAACACCTTAATGTAAAAAAACAAAATAAATGAACAAGCAGAACAGAAACAGAATCACAGATACAAAGAATATTTTGATGGTTGCTGGATGAAAGAGGCATCGGGGATGGGGAAAAAAAGGTGAAGGGATTAATAAGTACAAATTGTTACAGAATAGTCACAGGGGTGGGAAGTACAGCATAGGGAATATAGTCAGTAATCATCTAATAACTATGTATGGTGTCAGGTGGATGAGAGATTTATTGGATGATCACTTAATAAGTTATGTAATGTCTAATCACTGGGGTGTACACCTATGACTAATATAATAATGTATGTCAACTGTAATTGAAAATAAAAATTTATTTAAGAAATTTTTTAAAAAAGCAATGATGGTATTATTTCCACTCTGAGGTTTAAGAAACAGCAAGTAGTAACAGATGAATTAGACAGTAATCTGTTGAGTCTTTTTAAATTACAAATAAAAGGCTAATATGTAATTCTTAGGTTTAAATCTGATAGGGAACACCTATTTACCTTTGAATTTGTCTCATTTCAAAAAGCTTAACAACAGATCTCACCTAGAAAAAACCATTTTAAAATTCTTAATCATTAAAACAAGCTTCTTAGCTTCATTTTGATGGGGCTACAAGAAAGCTTCACAGCATTAATCCTATCAATACCAAGGTTACTGCAATCAAGTTTAGTATTTATTTTTATTGATTGATTTTAGAGAGAGAAACATTGATTTATTGTTCCACTAATTCATGCATTCACAGGTTGCTTCTTGTATGTGCCCTGACCAGGGTTCGAACCCGCAACCTTGGCATGCCAGGATGATGCTTTAACCAACTGAGCCACCCAGCCAAGGTCAATTAAGTTTATTTACAGCATGATTAAATTAGAAATTACCATTCCCACATTATTGCAATGACAAAGAAACTGAGTCATTTCATTTCTTTAAGAAAACTTACATTGAAATGGTTACAGAAAGCTTTCAGTAAAACATTTAAGATTTATTTCAACAGAATGTTCAGGATCCGATATTAATAAAAATATAAACAAATAGGTTTGCATCTTGCAGTTCTCCACAATAGACTCATAAGTGTTTTTAAAATACCACTAAGGGGACACCAGTTAAAGTTTATCTCTGATATTTTTTTAAAAACTTGTTAGCAGCTTTGTCATAAAACTGATTTAAGGTAGTTGTGTTTTTCAGTAATGTTTAGAATGATCCAGCACTTGGTATGAATACTCATATTAGCACACTGTACTAAAAAATAATTTGTGCAACATTTTGTAAACTAGCTGCAATTTTCAGTAGCTCTGTTCACCAACCATGTAACAGAATTGTAATGTTCTCCTAAGCCATATGCATGTCTCATATATCTGAAATAAAAAAAGAAAATGAGTAGCTTTAATGAAGGTAATTCCTTGTATACGTGTTTATTATGCACATAAAACCAAGTACTATGAATGAATCGCTCCACAAATGTTTTCATTTAATAAACTACACAAGCATATTACTTAAAAGTTTAAAACCATATGAAAAGATCTTTAACCCTGTCTGCTGAGTATAAGTCAGGTAAAACACAATCATTGGACAGGGAAAAAAAGACTGAAATGTGGAGTGCTCATTAAGCTTAAAATTTTTACTTAAATCCAACCATTAATGACTACCTTAGCAGGTTTAGCTAGTAAACACTAAAAGTCAATAGCAAACTCCTAATGCTGCGTTTCAGAGATTTCTCAATCTACAATATAAAGAAAAACCTCTAAGGAATAAACAACCAGGCAATATGAATATATATCAGCTTTTGACTTGTTAAAACTTTCAGCATTTTCTATGTCAAACCAGGGCAACATGCAAACTAAACCTAAAACTTTCTAACCTTTAGAAATGAATTGATTCTTAACTCATATGCAAAAATAAATCACTACAGATTCAATGATCCAAATCGCTTTATTCTGACAACGCTTTTTAATTTTATAATTACCTTTAACATAAAATAAGCATAAATTCTACCAAAGATAGTTTTTTTAAATTAATCAGCAATCTAAAATCTTTTATTAATCCTTTCTGTCTTAATGAAAAATGTAACAGTAGACATTTCTAGGTACTTACACAAGTATTAATGGCTTTTTTGGATATTCTTCGCCAACTACAATAGGAGGAGAATCTGCCTGTATTATCTCTATTGGTGTTTGTAAAATATGAGACAGGGCTCTTAGCTATAGGAAAGAAAATGTATTAGTGAAAAAAAATAAAAATGGAAACCTTATTGAAATCATAAGCTACTGAGGTATGCATGGACAGGGCAATCAGTCAGAGCAGGGACCCTCTGTGCTCCTCACCATATGCTTAGAACCTGGCACGTAGTAGGCACTTAACACAAATTTGTTAAATTAACAAATAAATATGCCATTTATTAAATCGAATGCAGAAGTTTCAGCCCTGGCTACACAACAGCTTCTTAGAAATATCAATGTCATAGTAAATAAGGTGAGGGGATGGGTCGATTGGGTTCGGTATACCAGGCTCTCTACTTTTGAATATAATTGAAAATGTCCGTTAAAAATGTTTTTTAAAAACCATTGTTAAAGCACTGGGCCAAATCAATTACAATTATGGAAGGAGTGAGGGGAAAAAGAAGGAACTGTGCAGATTAGGTGGTTTATTTTCCTTAAAACTTTTCAGATGATTCCAATGTACAACTGGTACTGACAACCCCTGCTTCTGTAATTTTCAAGACACAAATGGAATGAGATACATGTGCGAACTGTACTATCCTTTCCTAGAATTTCCATCTAATTACTACACAAGTTTAAGTACCATAAAATATAAAATTAGAGCTTAAAGCTGGATGAATAATAGTTATTAATGCATGTAGTCCTCACATAACCTTATGGGATATGTACCACTGTTATACTTATTTTAAAAACCTAGAATCCAAAGCAAACAAAGGTGAAGAGGCCTGCCTGAAGTCAAGCACAAGGGAATAAAATGACCTGCAAACTGAGGAAGTTCATAAACAAATCAATTATTTTTACAGTCTTTAATGTAGGGCCCTGATCTATGTATTTGCCCCATTAAAAGATTATTCCATCTAAAATGTCCTTTTACGAAGTTTTAACTGAAAGCAAAAGATTACTTCAGGAATATGAAAAAGACTCTGTTTTCATGGTGGCAAATTTAATCTCATACTCTCATAAACTGTTCCTTTGAGGCACTTTTTTATCATACCTAAAATAACATGTTTTTAAAAGCTGGCTTGAACTGAAGGGTGCAAAGCAGGCTCTAGAAATCCTAACATCCCTTCTCAGGCTTCAGAAATCATATAAAGATTTTCTCTATTGTAATTTAAATTCACCTCATTGAGAACACCGCAAATCTTATTTCAAATGGATTGGAAGATGAACAATTCAGGAGAAATATCCTTCAAAGGATTTTTAAAAAGTTTTCCTGAATTTAGAAACAGTCACTTAGGTCTCTAATTTTCATACTAACTTGGGATCCTTAAAAGCAAGTTCAAGTATCTTTAATTACTCCTAATGTAATGACAAAGCTACTTTGAAAACTTCCTGAGTTTCAGAGACCCTAGAGAGGCCCACAAAATGAATGGACGCAGTTCCCTCTGGTGGCTCAGAGAGGTACAAATACAGCAGGACTCAGAGCAAGGGTTTTGAAGAAGCCTTTATGCCATACCTTCAAACAGAGTTCCTAAAGTGAAATACTCAGAGCCACAAACTATTCAAGACGACAAATATAATCACTGCACAGTATATTTTTCTAAATCTGTACCTGTGGACATGCTATTGACTTTTTTTTAATAGAGAGAGGGGGACGGGAGAGAGAAAGAAACAGCAACTGGTCGCCTCTCATACACGCACTGGGCCCCTACCAGGGACAAAACCCACAACCTCAGCAGGTGCGCTGACTAGGAATTGAACCGGCACCCTGCTGTTGAACAGGACAGTGCTCCAACAAATTGAGCCACTCCAGCCAGTGCATCACTACACAGTATTAACAATGCTGCTAGATTCATTCACCTGGCATTTGAGCTTACAAACTTCTATGCATTTACTCCCTGCCGTATTTAGTGTCCACACATGACCTACCAAATATACACAAGGTTTTTATTACCTGCATGCAATGAGCTCAGAACTCCCACAAGGTCACAAAACTAAAAAGTGGAAGGAAAAGCCAGGACCCAAACGCCAAACCCTCCCTCTTCTCTCCTGGCTTTCTAATAACCCAGGCTGCCTCATCATCACTTAGGTGTTTTATTTTATTGTAATAAAGTTAGCAAAGTAAGATAAATAATTGGAGCTAAAAAACTAATCCTGATTAACTCCCTACAGGGGACAAAATGTATTGTTTTTTAACGCATGCATTTTAATCCATCAATACTGCTTTCAAGTCATCCCAGTCACTATCAGCTAGGAATTCACACACATTCGTAACAGGTGTGTGTGGCAGGACCTGACTACAATTTCACATAAGAATACTGCTTTCTATATCTGATGTCATGGATATGGTACCTTTCCAATATTGACTTTTATCAGTTGAGCCATTACAGTAAATATTACTGTACTGAAGTAAAATCTTAACTTTCATAAGTCTACAAAAATCAATTATATATCCAGTAGCAGCATAACAAATGGAAACACTTACGCAGATACAACACTAGCCTCACCAACCCACAGATCAAAATCCAGGCCATTTAAAAGGGCCATTTAAAATGAAATACCGCTTTACTTCCTCAAGGTACATACTTGAGAGCCTAAGAATGTTAACTCCTTACTTGAGTGCTTTGTCAGTAGAGAAATAGCAACTATGTAAAGAAAAGGAAACTTCAAAGAGAAATTGGGATCATCTGAAAAGTGTCTTGAATACTACAAATGGGACTTAGAAATAATTTCACAATCCACAACCACTACCAATAATTACAAACTTACCTCAAGTTGACCTCCCCATGCAGCTGTGTTTGCAATATCATCACAGTACTTTCCAAACTCTTCTGTAGAGAATAAGCAGAATATAGCACTTAGGAATTTTCTTAACTTTTGTGACAAAATCCTTTTTATAGCCCCCACAATTCCTGATAAAACTGCTTAAGCTAGAAAACTCCTTCTTCTCCACCTGTACTCTCCAGAATTTAATCCACTTCCCAGACCCAAACTTAACTCACTACAATTTTCCACCACCCTATCATCCGAGAGCAAAGCATTTCTGCTTCCCACCCTCGGCCTGACACCCAACGACCTGAACTGCTTAACAAGCCTGCTTCCTTCTTTTTAGCTCAAGCAATGACCCCCAAAATTGTCACCTTATTTACTATCTTGACATGCATTTTATTTTATTTTATTTTTTTTCCCTAGACATACAGATCTATTTTATTTTTTTTTAATTTTTATTTTTTGGCATTTTTAATTACACATTTTATTATTTTTTTAAATTTATTTACTTTTTAAATACATTTGTCTCTGCCTCCCCCCCCACCACTTTCCCTTGCCCCCTCCCTCTTTCCCTCCCTCAGCTCTTCCCCTTTGGTTTTGTCCATTGACATGCATTTTAAAGCCTAAGCTTGCATCTGAAAGAACACACCGGAAAAAAAAAAAATTAAAAATGTAGCCTCTATAAAATCAGCTCCACTATACGACTGTAAGAATTGTGAAGAGAATCAGGGTTAAAGTACAAATGAGTTGAAACTCCCTTCTCAGAGATAGCATCAAAAAGTGCCTCCACTTGTTATTTTGGAAGCATTTACCTTACTTGCATCAGTATGTTACATAAATCGATTATATTTTCATTACGAAATAATTAAGTACTTAAAATAATTAGGTATTTGATAGAGCAAAATGTACTATTAAAATTCGAGAAGATAGTTCTACCTCAGTTTTGGGGTATTTTTGCCAACAAGGATGTTACCAGTTCGTCTTATTCTCAGTCCCAGGATGTACTTTATTTAACCATGACAACAACCACAACTGAAACAAGAAGACTATTATAGTAAAGAAAAACAGATTACCTGGGGTGTACATATCTCCGGTATTAGGGTTCGTTAAAAATGGCAGGAAGTCCTCCATATGGCTTTGCATATATTTAGCAGTCTGGCTTCTTAAGGCAGCTACAGTCAGAGGGCACCCCCGCCCTTCCAGCTGGTCCTCAATGGCTCTGTACATACAGTGGCCATCGGACGGAATCTGTTTAATCTCCAGCTGTCTAGCTGCCAAGATTTGAGCAAGTTTTTCACTTTCTACATGCCTAGCTCCATGTAAGTTCTCAATTTCAGCTTCAGCTATCCTTTCTTTCTGCTCCTTTTCCAATGCAGCTTTCTTGTCCTAAGAAGAGGATGATGTAAGAAAGTGAATTCATGATAATTAGGACTAACTTGCAGTTATTAAGGAAATAGAAACATACGGTTCTCAAAACATTTTCCCCATTTTTCTCCCTTTTCCCACAAGCACTGTCATATTGATGATCTCATCACTTGCAGTCTTCTGTCCTGTGAACTCCTTTAGGGCAACCTACCTTTCTCTCTTTTTTAATTGGGTGCACAAGGGGAAGTGGAGGCGTCCGGCCCTCCTGCAGCGGCCAGAGAGAGGCGCCTGCACCCTGTGACCCCCCAAACTACCTTTCCCATCTGCGTACACTCAGAACCTCGCTCCGAGGCTTATTTAATATAGCATGGACTTTGGTGTTAGATAGGTGGGGTTTTAATCCCACTTCCAGGGTCACTTTGGATAAGATTCTTAAGCCTTGGGTTTACATGAATAAATGGAAAGAAAATAGTATCTCCTTCATAGAGCCATTGTGAATGGTAATATCAAGTATTAGTAAAACAGTATTTGGGACTTAAAAGGTTGGATTTATACTTCTTTTTGAAGGTGAAAAGACTTTACCTATCTAATCTCACTCCCATAATTTTGATATCATGAACTCATTAATTCCAGTAAGTCAGTTTCCCTATAGCTCTTTGATAATGCAAAATTTCATTTCCACATTTTTGTCTATGCTCTTTCTCCTACTTTAAATATCCCATGTAAATAACTAGATTTCCTTTAAATTCTAACTCATTATTTAACACTTAGCACAACAAACTTTTTCCTTCTGCGAACAAAAAGGGGCTACCCTAGCAAACCTGACAGGATTACTAACTGAAAATAACCATATGGGATGGCTTGATCATAAAAAAAAGAAAAAAAAAAAATCCTGAGCAAGTTACAGTGAGAAGTCATGCCCTAAAGCCTATATGATAGTCACCGCATTGAAAAAGTCCTATCCACTGTTTTTGAGCATCTAGAATAACATGCTAAAAATGTCAGAATGATTTCTTCTCCAGACTTTTAAAGATAAACTCCCTGGTATGGGGCCAGGTGACCCTAACACTCCTCATCCTTACCTTTGACCCACATACCTCTGTAAACTACGTTTGTTCAATGGCAACTATCCACCGAAGTGAAAGAAACATGTCTCTCTCCATTTTACTTTTTATCCAGTCCTAGAGATTTCCTGCTTTACTTTCTTTTGCCTCCTGAATCTCCCGCCAATGGAGTTCATATAACCTTTCTCATGTCTTCTCCTTTGATTCCAATGTAGAAAATAAACTATAAAACTGTTACTCCCTGGAGCACTATCTTCATCTCTTAAGATTTTGCTTCTAGAATTAACCCCAAAAACTTGGCTCAAAATAAACTTTCTTTAGGTTTGCAATTTCTTTCATCAATACTTCTCCTAGTTTTCACTGTAATTAGCCATTACACAGGAAACATAATTCTCTGAGAATTTTGTACACCTATATATCTTGCTTAACTTGTAGGTTCAAATCCTCATTTTAGCACTTACTACTATAGTTTTTAAGCAAAGCTGTGCACCAAAATCACCTAGGCCCACACTGTGAAGATTCTGAATTATTAAGTTTAGGATAATATGTTTGTAAAAACTATCCTTTGCACATCCCCCTTCCTAGCCCACCTTTCTATAAGGACTGCAAACTGAGTATTTTCTACTGCCTTAGGCCTATTTTCTTTTCTATCAAATGGGGATAAGAAATTCTACTTCGTAGGATTATTGTCTGGACTAAATGAGATTTCATATAACCTATAAACCCAGCCTAGTATCTGGCACATTGCAAGTGCTACATAAATGTTAGTTCGGGTCCTTTGACAAGCGACTCCATTTTCTTCCCTACTCTCTTCTTACATAACACCTATGAAAGCACTGAGCACACAGCACTAACTTAAATATTTGGAACATGACTTTCATACCCGTCTCTTCTGTGCTCTTGATATCCGAGGTGGCTGATTCTCAAGAACCAAGTTTGAAATGTTAACAGCATCAAAGTCTCTCTGAAGAAAACAGAAAGCAACTACTAGTTAATAAAAAATATTCAAAGTATCAGATAACTACATTATAATTGAAAGTGACAAATATGTGTAATCCCACAATTCATATTTGAGTGACAGCACTAGATGAACATTAGATAGCATAGTTGTCTCCTTTCCCTTACAATTCGACAAACTGTAAGGGGCAATCTGTCAGATTTCCAAGAAAAAGTGTTACAGCTCTTCAAAGGTAACGCTCATCCTTCCATGCTTTCCTTCCTTCTTAGCTTGCCTACTGCACTAACCTAAATACCTCTTCTAAGGGTCAACTCATTCAGCACTCCACCCTCCCCTTCCCTAAATGCTGAGAGTACTCACGGGATATACAAGGTCCTGTGCTGGCTCGGTTCATTACTATTTTCATGACCTCAAATGGGGCAGCAGAGTTCTTTCTCCATCATAATTAACCAGAACCTGAAGAACGCTGCTTCTTGACCCTGGTAACAAGTTGAACTTTTTCTATTCCTTCCCATCTATTTGACAACTACTGGTAGAATTTAATCTATATATCATTAACATATTACAACCAATCTTAATCATTAAATGGGGATTATGTATTTGCTGAAGGAAAAATGTGCCAGACTTATAACTTTCAGGATTAGTAGCTAGTATTTTATTACTGCAAATAATGCCTATAATAACAACAGCACACTCCAAGGTGATCCAAATGATCGAAATATCAAAATCAGATGAAGATTTCAATGAGTGGTTATCAACTTTAGTGAAATCAGTATTCTTATTTATTTCAGAGGAACCGGTTAAAATTTATAAATTGCTATACTGACAATAGGCTAGATGCAGAGAAGCATCTGGAAAAAAGAGAAAGCAATGACATAAGAATTCAGTCAGCTTTCAGAAAGAAAACAAACTGAAGTTAATGAAAATGATAACAGTTCTACGTAGGAAGGCAGTCGGCATTTTAACAGTTGGACAATGTGTAGCTTAAGAATAAAACATTTTTGCCCCTAGAAACCTAGGGAAAAAAAATCTTAAAAGTAAAAGGCCTGAGAGAGCAAAGAAACCTATTTCACTAACAGAAAAGATCAGGAGACAACCAGGTATACCATGATTGTGACAACACAGTTAAACACCCTGAGCACCAAGCCTCGTGACTTGGAAATAAAATGTTAAGCACACTGAAGGCCAGGATCTTTATGACTGGCTCATAAAAGTTAAAGGAAATAACTTTTCCTTTAAAGGAAAAGTTAAAAGGAATGTTTAATATAACAACCATCGTAAATCAGTACAGACAAGCCATTTTCCTTGTCAACAGCAGACCAAAAATAAACCAAATAAAGTAAAATTTCATTATGGTAGAAAAATTTTGCATAGACATAAGAACTTTCTAACTACCAGTACGGAGTAAGGTGATGGAGTCTGATCCCTGATATCCAAAACCCAAGCAATAAACTGCCACCACTACACAAAATTAGACTTCAATATTCATCTCCTAGAGTAATACAGCTCTGGCTTTGGCACTTAACAGATGCTGTGAATTCAAGACAACATTCTTACTCTCTCTGAGTCTGCTGCCACTTGAAAATGGGATTATTTCCACTTACTTCCTAGGTAATACCTTACAGTGTGTGACTATGAGAATTTATGAGATAATGCATATAATAGGTTAAACATAGTGCATGGCACATAACACACATTAGCTATAATAATAAAATAAACATGTTAAAATGATAACAGTATGCTCCAATTTACCTAACGAACATCTGTAAATCTTTATTCATTACAACTTGTGCATAAAGCAATTCTATTACCTTAAAAATGATTTCATATGCGTTGCCCCATTTGATTCATACAAAATCTTTCTTTACTCAAATGCCAGACATATTTGTATCATTGTATGTAGAGAAATTTATGCTCAGGAAGTTTAAGTAACTTTACTGGGGTTACAATCATATTTAATGGCAATTTTGGAACTAAACATCTGTACTTCTAAATCTCACTTGGTGAAGCTTCCTGTAGTTCACTTTATCAATCTATTCATCTCCTCTGCAAATAAATAAAGTGCACTTTCTTGGCTGATCGCCCTTCCAAAGGCGCACTACCATGTAAACCTGGTCACAAAAATAATGAAGGTAATGCAAGAGCATGATTGAGTGTCTTAGTTGCCCTCCCAATGTTTATGATTTTTATATAGTAAGCAGTTTAACAAGTGGACAGTTGCTTTCAAATGCTGTAAGCAAAGAGAAACATACTTTACTCTCCTTCAAAGTCAGCTTCAATTGCTCCAGTTCCTCTCTATGTTTCTGTTCCATTTCTGCTTCCAGCTTAGCAACATCTTCAGTGAGTTGCTTCCTCCTCCTTTTGTCATTCTTGGGAACAGCATTCTTCATACCTTGAATTTTGGCTGAAAAACCACCAAAAACTTAAGTCAAAACCTCAGCGGTTAAGAAGAAATGAGAAATAGGAATGATAAGGGGACGGTAAAGAGAAAAGATATAGAAAGGGTAATTGTGTAAACAAAAATAATAATTTCATAACAATCAATTATAGCGAACAGCCCAGATGAAGCTGAGTTCCCCCCCCCCCCCGCAAAAGTCTTATTAACATAACCGCGAGTTTGTTGGGGTAGGAGAAAAAAAAGAAAAAAAATGACTATAGTTTCTAAATCTTTCCAATACTTCTTTTAAGAACTTAAAATTGAAGTAAGATATTAAAAGTACTCATTTAGGGCCAAGCGTCAGTGACTGGAGCGGGAATGATACACGGAGACCCGGCAGGGAGGTGCTCTCAAACCGACACTGGAGGGGCAGTGGGCTGGGGACCGTGGCGGGGCTGGAGAAAGAGGAAGCCACTGAACATTAGAGCATTAAGGGTCCGTAGGGGCAGGGGAGGCGTAGGGTCAGAGGCCACAGGCTACTTTGGAAGTCTGGGACAATGCAGATTCCAAGCCCACGACTCCCCGAAACGGGCCTGTCCGGTGACGTCTAGGTTCCCACTCCGCCCTCACCTTGCAACTCCTTCTTCTCCTTGCGATGCTTTCTCACCAGCTGCTCTTCTTCGTCAAGCTCTTCGGCCGAGACCACCTCCATGACCACCAGGTAACCGAGCACTCACGAGGGAACAATCATGCACCATCCGCTGGCAGGCACCTCCCACCCCTCAACCCTCACCCTGGGCACCATTGGACAAGCTGGGAACCAGCCCCGCCTGCAAGGCGGTACCGGATTTAGACCGAGTCCTAGGAGCAGAAAGGCGAATGCAAAGCTGCGAGCATGCGCACTCTCGTGACACTAGGTGGGGAGCGGAGAGGAGCCGGAAGGCGCGCGGGGGCGGAGCTTGGATGGTTGAAGTTCGCAGCCTAATGATTAACTAGCTGGGTGGCTACAGCTCCTGGAGCAGTGAACCTGCGGTCTGGGCTGTCGGTTCTGATGTGAGGCGCTCAGAGATGACATAGCGAGAACCATTTTGGAAGTTCGTGTTTTGTTTCATTGCTCTTTTAATTCTCACTTTTGGTCCCATTGCTGACAAGTGCTATTGAAAAGGTGAAAAAGAGAAATCAAACATGTCAATAAAACTGTTGACAGCTATCAGGAATCTTTGGGTTGAATCAAACAGTAGGTAATAAGTTGTTCATTGTTTTAAAGGTGTAAGAAAATTGTGAAAACGGAGGCACTTTAAAATGCACTTTGAGCCCGGGCCAGGTATCCCAGTTGGTTAGAGCATGGTCAGAACATGCCAAGGTTGTGAGCTTGATCCCCAGTCAGGACACATACAAGAACGAACCAATAAATGCATAAATAAGTGGAACAACAAAATTGATACTTCTCTCTCTCTCCTTTCATCTCTCTAAAATCAATACATTTTTAAAAAATGTTTTAATCCCTGGGAAACTGCCTTGCAGGTCTTACTCCTCAAACCTTTGGAATGTTAAAACTGGGCCGAATAACCTTCGGCCTGGATCTAAAGCAGCATTGTGTCCAAGCGATTGTTTGCAAAGATGACAAGAAGCCAAGCTAAAAATTAAACACATTTAGAATTAGCATCACTATATTAGCTAACCTGCAGCTATAGAAATTCCTTCCTTCTATTCATGTAACTGTTTCCCTTACTTGTCTCATAAATACTCTCTACCTTTACTCGCTGTGAACCTGGCAAAAATAAAAGTGTCTACTAAGAAGAGCACCTGGTGGCTAACTGGCATCAAATTTTAAAAATAGGGACTTAACAGCCATTCCTACACAGCGACCTCGCACAAAAACTGCACTTTAGGGAAAATCTGCACTAAATTGCCTGCCTCCTGCAGTGAACTGCTTTCCTGCATTTGGTCCTGCCATCTGAGCCAGCATTTATAAAGAAGTTCCTGGAATCCTATTTCAACTAATAGGATTGAGACTTTCCTGTCCAATTGGAGCTGCACAACTATATCCCCATCAACATACTCTTTGACCAATCAGAGCAGCTCCATTCTGACCAATCAGAACAGTCCTTTTTTTGACCAATCAAACTGTGAGGATTTGGAGTCCTCATTTGAATAAGGATGGATCAATCAGAGACCTAACTTACTCTACTAAGTTAGCTCTCCTCCAGCTCTGGGAGAGTGCTTATCCTTTCCATTTTCCACTGAAGACTGACTGCATTTCCCCACCTGGAAGTAGAGCAGTGGAGACATCTCACCAGAGCAGAGTGAAACACACCAAGGCAGAGCAAAGCAGAGCTCTCTAGCTGGAGAGGGGCCTGGCCCTAGAGCCTCCCCACGACCCTGCTGCTTCATAATTGAGCTGCTTGCACTCAACAAAGTTGCCTTCTTCACCACACCCCAAATTAAGAATTCCTGTTGGCATTGAACTGGTGCCAATGACCATAGGTTAAAAAATGTTAGAAAGAGTAGACCATTGGGGATGGGCAATACTATAACCATGGGGTGGGAGTTAAGGCTGAATTTGCCTAAAAAAGGAAGTACAGGTGACTAGAAGACAGGTTTTATGGCCTTCAATGAGAAAACACACTTCAGATTATTTCTATCCTATAAAAGATCATGACCTCAGTTTTCCCTTGTCTCATTTTTCTGTAGTTTACATCCGAAAAAAAAGGGAGTGATTAGTAGGGAGTTGGGAAGAACCAAGTGAATATCTCGGGATTCTCATACTCCTGGCTAGTTTGTTTAACTTACAACCATATTTTACCCATATAATACTCATCACTTATTTTACAATGCTTCCCATGCAATTTAACATGAAAAAGCAGACCTGATTAGTTTAAGATTTCTCTTTTGTAAGGAAAAATACCCCAAATCTTTCTGAGGTGTTCCAGGGGCCCTCTGGAACATCACAGAGTTATCCCTTCATTTATTGAGATTTTTAACCCTTAAAACATCAATTTCTGAAAACTGAGAGGTAATCAATTAGCATTCTTTAGCTTGGCAAATTTATCAAGATATTTCATAACTTCTAGAAATACATTTTATAGACATCAAAGTCTATTATAACATGGACTTATTTTTATAAAACCCTAGTAAAATATAATGTAAAATATAAATATTATCAATAATCCAAAAAAAGTCTTTTCTACTTAAACCAACAAACTTAAACTTTTATTTACTAAAGATATATCTTAGATCATGTAAATTTAAAAAGCAATTGAGTTAGTTTCTATATTTCTGAGAATTTTAGAATATTCAATTTTTAAAAGTGTTTACCTTTAAATTAATTTTAATAATACCATTTGGAGGTAGAAAATTATTTCACATTTACAACATATATGTAGAAGTACACAAATAGACACCAAGGGTATAAAAATAAAGTGGGTCCAAATTTTGTGTTGGAAGCATTTATTGTTTATTTCTGTCCTTAACAAGTCAAGTTCCAAATGACCTTCCCCCTTTTAAAATAAGGACAACCATTTTTAAAATTTTATTTTTCAAGTACAGTTTGCATTCAACATTATTTTGTATTAGTTTCAGGTATACAGCATAGCCGTTCGACAGTCATGTACTTCACAAAGTGTTCCTCTCAATATTTCCAGGACCCACTTGGTACCATACAGAGTTACTACAACATTGTTGATTATGTTCCCTATGCTGTACTTCATATCCATATGACTATTTTATAACTACTAATTTGTACTTAATCCCTTCATCCTTTACATCTAGCCCTCTAAACCCCCTTCCCTCTGGCATCCATCAGTTTGTTTTGGGTGTTTGTAAGTCTGTTTCTGTTTCTTTTATGTTTATTTTGTTCATTAGATTCCACATATAAATGAAATCATATGGTGTCTTTCACTGGCTGGTTTATTTCACTTTACATAATACCCTGTAGGTCCATCCATGTTATCACAAATGGTAAAATTTTATTCTTTTTTTTTTATGGCCAAGTAATATTACTTTATATATATGTACAACAAATTCTTTATCCACTTCTCTATTGATGGGCACTTGTGTTGCTTCCATACCTTGGCTATTGTAAATAATGTTGCAATGAACATAGATAGGGTGTATATATTCTTTCAAATTAATGTTTCAGGGTTCTTTGATATATATTCCCAGAAGTGGATCACTGGATCATAAGGCAGTTCCAATTCTAATTTTTTTCAATTGTTGACACTATTACAGATGTCCCCATTTCCCTTCCTTTGTCCACCTCCACCCAACCCCCAACCCACCTCCTGCCTGTGGCCATCACCACATTGTTATCTCTGTCTATGAGTTATGCACACACACTCATATATGTTTTTGGCTAATCCCTTCACCATCTTTCATTCAGCCTCCCTCTTCCCTCTGACAGTTGTCAGCCTGTTCCATATGTCCATGCTTCTGTTTCTATTTTGTTTGTCAATTTATTTTGTTCATTTGATTGCACATATAAGTGAGATAATGTTAGACCTGTCTTTCTCTGACTGGCTTATTTCACTTAGCGTAATAACCTCTAGGTCCATCTATGTTGTTTCAAAAGGTAAAATTTCCTTCTTTTTTATAAACACAGTGTGCAACTCATCCATATTCACAGTGTTTTTGATACCAGTAATGAGTATTTATAGTATGCCAAGCACTGTACTAACAGATAAAGTGTGATTTGATTTAGTAGCAGTTTGCCTGGGGGAAGTTCCACGTCCAAAGAAAATCATAAGACATGTTGTGACGTACCATGTCACATCATGGGAGAAAAAAATCAAGTGGAATGGCTCTGGAATTTGAGTCAATAATTCCAGATTTGGAAGCTGTCTGGAGGTGGTTGCAGGTGAAGTCCACTTTCAGAGAAAAAAAAGATATTGCGCCTGGAGGCAGGTGGCAGCAGAAACAATGAAAGCAGATCACTCATGTACAAGTTTTTTTTAATGAATACTGTGAAACTATAAAATATATATTTTGTAGAAATAAGAAGGGACTTCATATTGCTTATATGAAGTAAAAAACTGACCATGGATGTAGATTGATCACGTTTTAAAAAAATTTTTTTTATAAATTTAGATCACATTATAAAGATATGCTGAATTGTAGTCTTCCAATTAAAAAAAAATCTTATCTTTGACATGATTGGGGTGAGTTTATAAATATGCTTTTGATTGTTATACTAATATTTATAGTAAGTAAGCACTCACAGTTGTGAGGGAGACAAGCTATTCCCAACACTTTCCCTCTCTATTTACTGTGCTGGGACCCAGACCCTGGCTCGGGTGTGCAACAATACTCTCTGAAATACTGCAGTTGAGAACTGGCCTATGTTTTTTAAAGTCAGAGATGGCAAGACAGTTTCATGTACTGGAACACACACTACAAACATTGAATCTTGCAGACTGTAATTTAATTTAAATGGATTCCTGGAGAGAAGTCTCAGTTTGGTATGGACTTCCATTGCTAACAGAACCATGAGCTCTGCAGCACTTCTGCCATTTTTTCACCATACCACCAGGGGGCAGTGTGTGTCTGTCTGGAAAAATGACACTGCGTCTCTTCCAAGCTATCTTTACTATCCTTCTTCACAATGTGCATTCTAATTTTAGAGAATGCCTTTAAGAAATATTCATTTTCTCTTCCTCTTCATTTTCATTTGGGAGGTAATGAGTATCCACTACAAGCACCAAGCACAAGGCGAGCCACTGAGAATTTAATGTCTTCATGACACAGACATTAAATTCTGTGTTCCAGCCTTTGCCTGTGCCCACCTC